GGCCAGCAGACATCGACATTGACATTAGGCCCCTGAATGATCTTGATTTTAAGTTTTCGTGACTGCAAGGATCCATACTCTTTGGTTATTTCGGTAACATCACGTAGGTGAAAATAATAAAATAAAATAGTGATAACAACTAAATTAAATCACGTCGTTTCGGGTGCAACACAAGCGTCCGTCATCAGGCGGGGACAATCACAGCGAAAACAATTGCTGAAGTAGGCCAAAGAGATGACTGTGACAAGGGATTATATAGCTGAGGGGGGGGGGCGGAGGAGCCAAGGTGAGTGTAGGGGCGGGGCGTGGGCTGGAGGAGAGCGGCAAGCATGCTCCTAATGCTCGACCTAAAGCTGTGACACGTTTGGGGGGGGGGAGAACTCTGCAGGCTCGAAGCACTGCACGGCAAATTTCCAAGTGATGGGAGTGAGCAGGGCTGGGAGTAAAATACTGGAGATGCGGATATGAATATAAACTACAAGGCAGCAAAGGTTTAACTTGGTTAATAACATCCTTCCAATGATTGCTCAATTTGAATCCATCTTCTCGGTTGAAGTTATGTCTGTTTTTATATCTGGATGGCTTCATAGACAAATCTTTGTTGGTATCCAGACGCCTTGCAGAGCACTTTGGTATCGGAGAAAATAATATCATGAGAGCCCACAGCATTGTAGCAGTGATCAGCCACGGCAGACGAGTTCGTCCTGCCGTGTTTCAAATCTGCCTTGTGCTCGCGAATGCGGTCTGATACAAATGCAACTCACTTTGTAGACTCCAGGGTACTGCAAATAAGAATTAACATCCTTTACGGTTCAGATCAGATCACGGATTTTGTGTACTGTACTGAATCGGACCTGGATCTTGTGTTTCTTTAAGATTTTGGAAATCTTTTTGGTAACGCCTGCTATGTATGGTAACGTGATGGTTTTGATCGAAGTCTAGAGGGTTGTTTCTCCATGGTCGGAGACGCAGCTTTGCGGATAATACGGTCCGAATATCCATTAATCTTAAGGGTCCGGTGTACATGTTCTAACTCACTGGCCAGGTGGTGTTGGTCACAAATGCAGTGGGCCCTATGGTGTAGTGTTTTGATGACGGAATTCTTCTGTGCCGGATGGTGGTGGGAATCAGGTTTCAGATAGGAATCTGTGTGGGTGGCTTTCCTGTAGACAATGTCCCAAAGAGCCATTAGGCCTTGTCTCAAACAAAACATCCAGGAATGGTAGCTTGCCATCCTTCTCCACTTCCATGGTGAAAATGATGGATGGGTGTATGGAGTTAATGTCTTCGAGAAACTGGTTCAATGCTGACAAGGCATGTGGCCAAATAACGAAAGCGTGATCCACATATCTCTTCAACAGGGAAGGACGTAGGGTGGATGTCTGGATGGCGTCTGTTTCAAATTTCTCCATGAAAACATTGGCTATCACTGGTGACAAGGGGTAACCCATGGGGGTACCCTAATTTTGTTTGTAGAAAGAACCATTCCAGGTGAAGTACGTGTTGGTAAGGCAGTGGCTAACCAGCGCAGGGACATCAGGGTTCCCTGTTTTCGCTGTGGTTGTCCCCGCCTGATGACGCACGCTTGTGTTGCGCCCGAAACGTCGTGATTTAATTTAGTTGTTTTCACTTTTTTATCTTATTTTATAATTATTTTCACCTATGTGACTTCACCGAAAGAACCAAAGAGTACAATACCTTCCCCCTCTCTGCCTCGAATCACTGCACCTGAATGAATTAAATGATTCCGTCACCCCGCTGTGCACTATTCAAGACCGGGAGCAAGAGGAGACCATCACCATTCTGCCAAATTGCCCGATGAAGCTGGATGTAATTACCAGCGAAACGTCGTACTCAAATTGTAAATGATGTTGATTCTCTCTTCAACACACCGGTGGGCTAAAGAAGTGAAATATTTTGTCCTTTGTAAACGTGACACATTTTTGTTACTATTTGGCCGTGTCGGGTGGTGAAGGGTTACGACACATTTATAAATAACGCGATCTAACCCAAAAACCGATATAATGAATAATATTGGTCGCGAAAGCCTACGTGTTAAACTGATACAGTAGTAAGTTGTACAATGGTTACAAGTACAGTACATATACAGTGCAGATAATGGGTGGAAGCTATCAATAAGTGGATGGTATAGACATTCAGCTTTGGATTAAAGTAATATTCGAATAGTGAAGTGTAAAGGTTATGATTGAAGACAAAGATGGTTTATCAGTTGTGGAATTAGGTTGAAGGTAAACTGTTCGTGAGTAACCTGACCGTTACACCAGTCACGTGGTTAATGGCAACTTTAGTTGAAAATTGCCTTAACACACGTGTTGTTGCCTTTCACATATTATAACAATAAATGTGTTTGCTTGCCCTCGATTTGGAGCACCTGGCCACGTCCTTCATTTCGAGTTTGCAACACAGGGTACTGCGCAAGCGGGAAGGTTCTGGAAGGGCGAGTGGAAATGGGTAAAGACGATGCCTCAAAGCCTCAAACTGCGGGGGACCAAGGCTCGTGAGAGATGCAGGCCGAGTGAATATATTCAGGGGAGCCGAGGCCCGCGGTCGGGGCGCTTGCTCAGGGATTGATCGACAAGAGGATGTGGACAACATCGGTGCCGACTGTTCGAGATCAACATCGTGGAAACGATCGGAACCAACTCTTCAAGATCTACATGGTGGGAAAACACTGAGAGGGACTGTTTCGAGTTGCATGTAGTGGAAAACCACCGGGGCTGCAGGTAGTCATATAGCCATGGTGAATTATGACCAGTTGTATTCTCGTCCTTTGTAAGTACGTTCTCGGGAAATAAGGACATTTCCCCTTGAAAATATGACCTGTAAAAGCAGCTACATTACACTGGCGGCAGCGATGGAATACCGTCTACAAGTCCCAGAAAGAAGACCCGCCGAGGAGCTCCTACAGAGGATGATGTGTTTGCTCCCGTGTCACCGAGACCCAGAATTCTACGGGAGCAGGAGCCGGACCCCCGTTGGTTGGCCGCGTTCCCGACAAGAGGTGGAGGCCTCACCACACGCCACGAGAATCAGCATCGCTGGACCAAGAAAGTTTGTGGCGGCAACTGTCCCACAGATTGGACCACCGTACCTTAGCGATGGATTGACTGGTGACGGCAATTGTGGAGAGAAGAGAAGTGGAGGGAGCAGATGCTGCGTGGCTTGAGCCGGAGCCGCCGCCGTTGGCCACGTCGTGAGAAGAAATCACGGGGAGGAGGAGGCAGCAGCTGCTGACAGCTTCCCCCTCGTCGAGCAGCAGGTGGGAACCCATCAATCAGCTCAGCCGCAACCGGAAGCTGCGTACCCTTTGGTTCTATTCGGTAAAGTCACGTAGGTAAAAAATAAAACAACAGACGTTTCGGCCACAACACAAGCGGCCTTCATCAGGTGAAGGCACCAGACTGTCACTCCAGCGCAGTCTTCGAGACAGTCTGGTCCCTTCACCTGATGAAGGCCGCTTGTGTTGTGGCCGAAACGTCTGTTGTTTTATTTTTTACCTACGTGACTTTACCGAATAGAACCAAAGAGTATGGATCCTTGCAGTTACGAAAGCTTCAAATCTAGAATGGAAACTGGGTGGCAGACGTCAACCACCAAGGCCATGAAGAAGGATATGCAGAGACCGGTTGCCTATAAAATAATTTCCAACCACTGGAGGCAATTGGGTGGTGTTCATTAAACAATTTGAAGCCGCCGTCAGGGCCAGCCAATTTAGCAATGAAGATGCCCTTCGAGTGCTGCCCATGGTGTTAGACGACGGAACGCTCATGGCATTTTGTTTACGATTCCAGAAAGTCAACGCGCTTGTGAGGTGGATGGCCAAAAAATGTCTGCCCTCCGTCTAGCGTAAGGCAGCGATTTTCACCCGAAAGAAGAGAATGAGACGCCGATGGCTAATACACGTTCCTTGTTAGTGCCCACAATTGTGGTGTTGCTGCAGATGGACAAGGCGGCGCAGGACGCGCTGGTGGCGGAGCGGCTGTGAAGTCTCCTCCGTCAAAGCGTCATTACATTGCCGATTGTGCCGGAGAGTGACCAAACTTCAATGTGGTTCGCTAAATGCCGTAAATCCGTGAAAGCTCGGTGTTGCACACTCTTGACAGAATATCACCTCCTCAAACAGGTGGAACGTGCAAATTACCCCGAAACCTAAACCTTGTTCAATAAAATTGAGTTGTCCAATTCAAGTGTTTTCAAAATATTACTAACGAATATGTATTAGTTTAAAATGTTTAAGGGCGTTTGCCCTCCATATGCCTTGCCCAGCACTCAAGACAATTCCAAGACTCAATTCCCAGGCACCATCATAGGCATTTCAGTGACTAGTCCTGCCATCTATTGCAGTATCTGTGAGTTGATATGGGAATATTTTGGTCTAGATAAGTGGCTCCCAACAGTTTGGATGTCACTTACTCCGAACAGACTTATTAACTTTCCAATTACTTCTATCATCATTGTCACAACCAGAATGAATATCGGAAAAGTGATTGCATTTTACAACTATGGGTAGCTCTAGACAAATTTTATATGCACTGCAGGTTTTAAGATGTCGAGAGTTTAATCGCCCAACTCAACAATATCCAGGAACCCAAAAAAAAATAACACCCCGAAAATATTTGTATATAACAATAGCCACTTGTCACAACAACACATTTTGTACAGGAGGAATAATGTTTCACACATTTTAAACGTTTTTCAGTCAGACAGTAGGGATTCCCCCATGGGTTACACAATACGAGTTTTTTTTCTTATTCCTATAGAGCATGTTCTCTTATTGTAGCAGGGACTTGTGTCCCTCCACACCACCTTTCGAGTTTTACACAATTGTACATTTAACAGAGACCAACAACTCATAATAATAAAGTATCCAAGGTTAGACTTTGCTTCGCTTGACTGCCTCAACTTGCTCTCATTGTTTACACCCCACAGCGTCAACTGTTGTTCTCTTTTCAAGCTTGGACTCAATTCTGGAGACTCGCTTAGCTCAACCTGATACGTCTTGTCCACCAAACAATCATTATAAACTCTTAGGCAACAATGGCGTCCCCATTCCATCGCTTTATGGAAGGTCTTCTGCAATGTTAGGCTGGTGTCACGACAGATATGATGATTTCTAGACTTCTTTGGATGGCCGACTGTGCAGTGCCATTATAGAGACGGTAGATTCACTCTATGCTTGGATGGATAGAGGTAGGGCATGGTGTGCATGAATGTCATTCGGCACTTTTGCCATGTGGACAAAGAGACGGATGATTATTGAACAAATGATGCAGTCGATGGTAGACAAGTTATTGATGAGACAATTACCCTTCTTCATAGCACATAAACGTTGAGGCCAGAGACGAAGTGGATAATACGGGTTGGATAATTCACTCTAAACACTATGGGGCCTGATGACAATGAGATCTTAAAAAAAAAATTTGACGCTACTTTTTTTACGCATTTTATTTAAACAAATCAAGGGAAGGTACAGACTTTTTTCAGACGGGGTTGAATGGTGAAACGCAAGGGGTGAAGTGCCATGGAATAACACCAACATGCGAGTTAGTGTCCCACACAGGGTGAACGTCATAGGTGAGAGAGACAGTGGAGGGGTAATGCTTTGAGAAGCGTTGTAGGGGAGGTAAATGAGGGTATGAGGTTGTTGTTGTGTGCTGTGGAGGTGGGGTAAATCGTGGGGTGGTAACCGGTTTGTGCTGAGTGAGGTGGGGCAAGCAGGAGAGATGGCTCGTCATTGAGATAGAGTGAGTATGTAATGCCTAGCGCGGCATATAAAGGTGAAGGCGATTAAAGTAACAAACCACACACAAGGAGACGATCGGGGATAAGGGCGAGGTAGGGAGGTCGGGGGAGCAGCCGTTAAACTAAAACTAGTATTCCTCTAACTCTCCAGGAGGAATACGTTGGCCAGATATCCAGGAGTTCCTCTTCCCTATCCCTGAAGAATGCACTAAGATGCTCCAGCCAGCAGTGTTTGGCGATGACATTGGCCCAGGCCTGGAGGGGGGGTGAAGGGTTGACTGCCATGTGGAGAGGATTACTTTTTTCCCAACTGTGTTAAAGATCCTGGACAGGGAGTTCCCTCCTTGATGAATCCTGGTGGTCGTAATCCTAGGACGTTGGTGGAAGTTGCTGGGTTGACAGACGAGTGAGTGATGTCATTGAAGTAGCAAGTTATAAAGCTAAACATTCGAGTTACAGTAAAAGTAGCACATTCAACACCAGATAAAACACCCCATTTAGTGATCACAAAGTGTTATCACTGCTACTAAATAAACTCATTAAAGCAAAAAACTATTTACTTACATCTTAAGACCGCACCGCCGCTAAAAACAGTGAAAAAACCAAGGGCATTGTCGGTAGTACGGCCACAGCCAATCCAACGGCCACGACCGTGCCCACGACTGCTACGGACCCTATCGCAAATTTCTTCAAGAATATCTGCAGCGCTGACTGTTGGGAACTCAGTTCAGCTGCCATGTCCATGCCGGTTTCCTTTTCATCCACCTTCATCTTCAAGGAAAACGCCTCCTCGTTCACCTAAAAGGGGAAAGTAACGAGCAGGTAAATAATAATTATAATTTACCATTTTATAGCGCCTTCACTCGAAAATCACAAGGCGCTATACAAAGCACACACACACGTGCAGTCTCAAACCAATCAAGCACAACCCCAAGCCCTTAAAATAATCACAATTTGAATGAAGGAAACGTCCAGTGGAAGTTAATTCCACATTATAGGAGGCCACATGAGGAAAGGCCCAGTCAACGATAGTACAGAGATGTAACCTCGGCACACACAATGGGCCAGATTCGGAAGATCAAAGTACTCTTGTTAGAACATATGGGCAAAGGAGGTCTCGTATATATGGGGGAGAAGCAGCATCATAAGAAGCTTTGTAGGTGAGGAGAAAAATCTTGAACCCAGCTCGAAATTGGACCTGAAGCCAGCACAGGGACAATGTGCTCAGCAACAGGCCTGCACATAATAATCTGGCAGCCACATTCTTCACGTGTTGTATCATCTTTATTCATAATACGAATATTTATCAGAGGCATCCGATGAGCTATGAAGCTCTTTTACACAGATGCCCAAAAGGGGCAGGTCATAAAGTTACAAAAAAAATACAAACATGATATGAGTGCAAAGTATAGGAACGGTAAGCAAGTAACTAAACAATTAAATTATATCAACGCAAATTGCATAAATACATCCATTCCTGCTGATGTTTCAACACTAAATGCAAGCTTTTCAAGGTAGAAAAAACAAGAACAACTACAGTCCCAGACCACACCAAGACAACACCCAGTCCCTCAATAAAATTGCACAGTAAAATTTAACTACCGATACATGGGTAAGGATTAAAGTTCAAAATCATATTGGCAAATGTGGTTGTATCCAGTACGTATCTTCTGCTTTCGGGAGTTTTTGAAGGAAGATTTACGATGTTAAGGGAAGAAACACAATTGATGAAAAATGTTGGTGCTGCAGGCAAATGCTTTATCACCTATTCCAATTATTGTTCTTGGGATAGTTCAAATGACTTGGGTTTCTTGTATTTGACAGTTGGGTTAATGAATTCGCTAAGCATAGTGCAGATTTGCCAATAAGTATTTTATGTATTTTATAATATATATACATGGATGAACAGGGACCAATGTCTTCTTGCATCAAGTGATGCGCGATTGTATTTTAAGTAGAGGTCACAATGGTGAGTCCTGTATGGTACATTTAGTACAAATCGAAGAATAGTACGATAAAGTGCGTTTAGTCTGTTTAGTGATTCTTTAGTAGCTGATCTGCAAGCAGCATCACCGTAGTCAAACAGTGGTAGAATGATAGCTTCAGCAATTTGCAGGCATAATCAAATGGGAAAACAATATTTATTTAAAAAAACATTTTATTAGATTTTCTTCGAGATGTGATCAATATGGGGTTGAAATATACGTTTTGAATCCATTTGTAAACCAAGGTATTTGATGCACTCTGTGTGTTCAATGATGTTTCTGATATATATAATAGGTGATGATAATGAAACTGGATTTTTGTTTGAGGAAAAGAGCATTCTTTTTTTAGGATTTATGAGCAATTGTAGTGATGACAATTAATGTTGAATGAAATCGAAATCGTGTTTGAGATGCTATTGACTTGGTTTGGAGATTCTTCTTATTCGTGTCTCCTGTCCAACCGATATTGGTATTTTCCAAATATTCTGCACAGGCCACCGCTTCTGTTGTTGGCATTGCCAAATCTTTAGGAGTGCATTGTGATGCAGCAGGGCATTCCAGGAGCTGATCCATGGTTTGCTTCTCCTGACAAGCACAGCAGTCGGTTGTGTAGAAGCCCCCACCCCCATGATTTAATGAGATTTGCGTCTTCCAAAACCCACTCTCAGTCTGTTTAGGCTCTGCCGTGTGAGCCATTTGTAATCATAGCTAGATGTGATTTACCTGACACTAGCATGACCGTGTCATCAGCAAAGATATTTCATTCTGAGTGATATAGGTTTAGACCAGGATTGTTTAAATATAATGGAATTGGACCCAACAAGGAACCTTATGAAACAAACTTTCTTATTTTAATATTTGTGAACAAGATGTTATCACTATGTACCTTTCGAGAACGGTCTGAGAGGTAGCTCTTAAACCATTTTATTTTACTATCTTGAAATTTTAGTTGATGAAGTAAAATTTGGCTGTCACGTGCTGAAGCTAGTTGTAATTACAGGCAAAACATCGTACTTGACTTGTAAATGTTGTGGATTTACTCTCCATGACACCGGTGTACTGTACTAGCAACGAATTGTCATGTTCTGTTTATGTGACAAATCTTACTAATTGGCAGAGTCGGGCAGTGTCGGGTAGTGGCGGGTTTTCAACAACAGATTTATATCCATGAGATCTAACCCAAAAAAACACTTCTTATGGATAATATTGGTCGCAAAAGCCTGCGTGTTAAACTGACAGTCTTGTGAGTAGAATATTATGGTCAACAGTATCAAAAGCTTTTGACAAGTCGAGGAATAGTGCACAGCAGTAGTGACCTTTATCCAGGTAACGGAATAAAACATTTATACAGTGCAGTTATTCTCGAAAACCAGGCTTTTTTTTACAGTGAAGGAGGTTTTGACTTATTAGGTAGCAGTTTATTCGTGATTGGTGAAATAACAGAAATTGGTCTATAATTATTAGGGTCTTCTTTGGAGCCATTTTTATATGCTGAACGAATAAGAGCAGATTTCCACTCTAGCAGAAATGTACCTTCAGTAAGGTTTAAAATGCGTGCGAGAGGTTTATAAATGAGATCTGCCACAGCCACACGTGCAAATGCAGGAAACTCGTCTTCTCCCGTTGATGATGTCGTCTTAATTGATGCTAGTTCATGCAATACATCCAGTTCAGATATGGGACTAAACGAGAAGTAGGGCCGATGATTTTCACGAAGTATTTTTAGGGCTGGTGTCTGAAGAGAAAGAAGTTAGTAATGTGAACAGTGATGTATTTGCACAAATGTTACTCTGATGTGTCTTGTCAAAGATATGTCTTGCTGATCAAAAATTAGAATTAGAACAGTTCTTTGCCATCCAATAAAAGGGCTTTTGGAAGAATATTTATCTTTCCTTTGTTTTCAACTAAGTTGAACGTTTGCCAGAAAAGTCCTGGGTTTTGTTTGTTTGTAAATTCAGCATAGTTTGGTAGTAGTAAGAAAATGTATAGTTTCTTACTTGGTTAGTACATATATTGCTTAATGTTATTTAGTTATTCCAATCGGAGAGGTGATTTGCTTTATTCCAGGCTATGTTCGGATCAAACTAAGGTGCATGATTACCCTTTAATCTGAACTTATTTAAGCGGGCATGTTTGTCAATGATTTTTAGGAATTCGTTTTGAAAATATGTCCAATCACTTTCAAAAACTGGGATTTTGATCACCATATCCCAGTCAGAATGTAGAGTGTCATGTATAAATGCTTGGCGGTGAAAATGTTTTAAAGACCATTTTATAATGCTTTCATGAGGTGTTTTAGTGATTTTTGCATGACGAATGCCAAAGACAATATCATGATCACTGAGATGATTACTTAAGACTCCTATTTTTTTAATTTACGAGGTGATTTTGTTAATATCACATCAAGTATGGATTCACCATTTTTTTATATTGGGTCTCGTGGTTGAAGTAATCGATTGATTTAGATTGTACTGATTTGTTAAAGCATCATGTGGTAAGTTTAGCGAATTGCAATTTAGCGTGTGTAAATGAAAAGGCTGCAGGATAAAATGATTAGACTCCCAACAGTTTGGGCTTAGGCTTCTAAAAGAGTGACCATAACGTAGAGATGGCATACAAGGCCACCAAGGTAGGTCTTCTTCTATGACCCTTGCCCCAATGAATACTGGGAGGCCAACGAAAAATCTTCAGTTGTTGGAATTTGACCTGCACGTCGGGGGTAAGATGTGAGAATGTATGGTGTTGACTCAGGCTGCATGGATGAGGATCATCATAGCACATCATACATCGACAATGGGCTTATCGTGAACAGAGATGAGCAACTGTTTTCATAAGACAGTGCAACACTAACAACCTAGGCCCCTGCCAAGACACGTTGGATACGAGCTGTGGCAGACTGGTTAAATAACTCTTCGAGCCAGATGCAAGCCATGAAGAGCTGCTCCCGAGCCAAATTGTTGGGTACAATGGTGAGGCACTTAATCAGTGTGGCAGTGCGATGGTACTCCCTGGTTGATGGAAAGCTGACGACAACCAGGGAGAGCCGGATATGAACTGCAGTGGGCTGGTCGAGTAACGCGCCAGGCACGAGCTATGGCAGGAACAGCCAAGAAGGCAAACTGGACACGAACCACACCGGTGAACTGCATGGCAAGGCACGCCAAGTGGAAGCCACAGTGAGCTGGCCAAGAACCGAGCAGGCAGGCACAATGATGAGGCAGTCAGATCACAGAAGTAGCAGACCAGCACCACCAAAGTGGTTAAAATCCAAGTTCTTTGGCCAAGGATTATGCAACGGGGCAGCACACAGAGACTGTGAATAAGGTAAACTTCTCGGACAACTCAAGGGTTGCGATGGAGGTGTCATATGCTCTGGCTTAGGGGTGACAGACTTGGACGCAACTGCAGACCAGAGGCAGGACTAATCCACTTGATGGCATCAGGAGTTGGATGACGTGTCAATGCCTTCTGCGGAAACGTATAATACCACTCTAATGCTCAGCTGCACACTAGTGTAGTGGCATTACTGGGTGATGTCACTGCTCTTCGGTTGTAGTGCCAGCCCCAGGTCGACAGGGGGCGGAAGAGTGCCCAGATCGAGCTGGGCCATGACACTCAGGTTGAACCCAGGGGGGCTCGTGACCGGAGGTATGGACCCCAGGACCTCAAAGGGAGCTGGGGGGGTGACGTGTCCACAACCCGGTCCTTCTCAAAGGTTCAAGAAGGAGGGCGTGGCCAGGGGCGGAGAGAGCTGGGATTGAACGGGTCCGGCTGCTGTTGTATACTTGAAGACCCGAAGCCGTCACCCTGAAGAAGAACCCAAAGACAGGACCCGGACCCCAGCTAGGGTCGGGTCGATGTCAGCCTCTCCAGTGCTAGGTGCGCATTAGCCGGGAGGATATCTCCATACAGTATCGGGTGGAAGGGGCCGTTACCCCATCATGTTAAGGTTACTTTGTTATAATAAAGATGTTGCCTCTAAAGAAGTCTCGCTCTCCATTCTACCCACTACACTAGCAATATACTCCACGATAAAACGACATAGCACCCTATACTATACTACACTGCACAATACTACTACACTGTACTACACTGCACACTAATGACACTATATTACACAGCACACTAACACACTACTTTAATATCCTGCAGCCAAATACAATACTTCATTACACTGCACACTAATACGATACTACACTGTAGCATAATACACTCCTACACCAATACTATACTTTACACTAATATTACACTGTACTGCACGTACAGTACTACACTACACTGCACACTAAATATTGTGAAAACAGACTATTTTGCGATGTAATACTCTCGGGGACTTAAAGAGAAAGTGTTCAAGTGTACACTTTGAGATAATTAAGAAGAGATGGCCGTAAGGCACTCTATAGATAATTAATTAAAACAAATACGTTACCCGGGGACCAACAAGCTACAAGGTGGAAGACATTGGGGCTGATGGTCCACAGAGCGACGAGCTGGAAACCATTGGGGCTGACTGATCGCAGAGATGTAAATACGTTATTCTTTAGAAAAAAAATACTTCACCTTTTTACAATGGACATCTCGAATGGAGCTTTTTTACACTGGTGGCAGCAGTGGGATTTTGTCTGTGGTATCCTGTAAAAAACCCCGAAAAGGAGCTCAAGTAAAAGAAGAAGTGTCGTCCCTAAGTGCCCCAGGTTCTAGAGACCCAGAGACAAGCGGGAGCCAGACTCCACTGGCAGCTACGTTTCCGAAGGAGACGGAGGCCCCGCCACAGACCAGAGAACTAGAAACGCTATACCAGGAGAGCTCCCAGGATGGCTGGAAGCAACTGGCTGAGAAAGTGGACTGCCTTACCTCGTCAATCGATGGGCTACTGATGACGATCATTGACGAGGAAGGGGAAAGAGCCGACGCTGCATGACCTGAGCAGCTGCTGTTCCCCACAGTTTTTTTTAAAAAGCCAACATGATCGAACCCCGCAGGGCGGCGCGCTGACATCGCTGGGCCAGAGCCCAAGCCTCCCCTCACCACGCGGTGCGCCGAAATTTCGGAGCCAGAGTCATCACCTTTCCTTGCAGCATGGCGTGGCCGAGATCAACCTGCACGGCCGTCATTGTTGGCTGCACTGCAGACCGCAGCCACCCTGCTCATGCGGGGGCTGCTTCCAGCGGTGTCGCAAGCTGAAGCTGCGCCGCCTTAGCTACCAACCACAGGCACCCGGCCAGACCATAAACACACCTCGTCATCATCACCATTATCACCTGCACGCCACTCGAGTGTGGCAACCTAGTGCGACATGGCGGGATAAAATTGGGATGCATCAAAATCAATATGGAAAAGGCTAGCAAGATACATTGTAGCGGTGGACACAGGAACGTCCGTACTAGTAGGAGCAATAGGGGGAAATCCCGTTCAGTTGTTGGTGGACACGGGAGCATCAATCACCATCCTGTCTGTGCTTGTGTTTGACATGCTACCTACAGCTAGAACTGGTACACAGTAAATTTGTTGCAGCAAACGGGGGTAGTTTGGGAATTGTTGGGAAAGTAAAGATGGAAATCAGCATACGGGAAATGTGTATATCAGGCCCGGTATTGGTTTCTTCGTCTCTAGCAGTGCCATGTTTATTAGGAACCGATTTATCTAGCTCGGCTACCCATGAACATCCAAATGGACCAGGGCTATATAGAGACACCGTCGGGAAGACTAATGCATTTTTTGTGGCCAGGCACAAACAGGGAAACCCGCAAGAGGACATGCCCTGGGTAAAGGAATAAATGGTGATTCTGCCACTGGCGCAAATGTTGATTACATTGAGCTATCACTGGCCACTAATAACATCACGCACAGACGCATCCATTTCAGTATCACCAATGGGGCCAGTTATTAGTTGGCATTCATTAGTGGCGGCAGACACCATTTTGAGACGGAACCAAAGATTGTGCACAGAGGTTCTAAACACATCTGAGCGGGCGGTTACACTAAGAGAAGAGACAGTGATAGCCCAGATCTCTCCCACAGGCGAAATACAGGAAGATGAAGTAGTAGCAGGGATACAAGAAGTGAAGAATCGGGTAGGGTCCCCTTGAGATCAACTGAAAAGTGTCCGACAGGTATTCTAGGACATTTTAAGGTAAAGGCCCATATGATCTAGGGTGCATCGACTTGATGCAGCATCATATCGAAACGAGGAGTGCGTCAGAACTAGTATTGAGTAGGCCCAGCAGAAAAAGAGCAGATCCATCGAGCTCCAAATGAGATACTACGAGCGGAGATAATCTCTCCAACCAGGCCCTGGGTAGCACTGGTTGTGCTAGTTAAGACACCAATGGCTCCATGAGGTGTGGATTTCTGGTGCCTAAATAAAGGTATACTAGCAGGTATGTATCTCCTGGTGTGTACTGATTACTTGTTAAATGCGTTAGCAGGATACATTTTTCCCTATATTAGATCTGTTATCAGCATTTTGGCAGCTCCCTTGGATGATGAATCTAAACTCAAGACTGCATTTCGAACACCACATGGGTTATTTAAATGTAATCACCTTCCGATGGGATTGCTCACAGTACTGATCACAATCATAAAAAGAACACGTGCAGAGAATAATGGAAACCCCAGTGCCTTTCGAGCAAGGGGATTGGGCCTGGTTACACTTTCCCCAGGTCCGGGTAGGCACGTCGGCCAAACTGCACCGTCCCTGGCAGGGTTCTCTAGAGCTTGTCCAGGTTCTTCGCCCACAAAGTGTATGCATCCAGATCGGGCGCCAGTGATGGGTGGTCCACCCGAGTGGCTTGAAACCATTATGAGGAACCACCGAGACAAGGTGTCATTCAGGTTCAGAAAGGCCAGGTCTGGGGGAGTCGCCACAAAATCCGGGGACAGAAGCGCCCGCTCCAGATAAGTACTGCTTCTGCACTCTCCCTCCTTCTCAGGCATGACCCCAATGAAGATAAAGAGGATGTGGGGTGCCAATGCAGTCGTCATCCAAGCACACACCAGGGAGAGGCACCACCAGGCTGAGCGCGCCATTCAACCGCACATAGACGAAAATTCATGAGGACGGTTGAGGGGGGTGTAAGTGTTTGGTTGTGTATTTCCATGTGTATAGATGTTCCCTTTTACCAGTGTATTAAACGTAAGAGTAAGCTGGGGTTGACCGTAACTGCTTCCCCCTTTTGTTTCGAGGGCCAAGGTTTAACCGTTGAGCTGGATGACAATGTGTAGAAGACTCTGTTCCCAGGGAAAAATTCCTTGTGCTATCCCATGGTCCAACAATGTTACATCCCCTCTTGTTAAAAAGCCAGTGTTTTATATCCAAGACTGCTGTTTTTTCGTTGGGAGGGGGGGGGTGATGTAGGAGACTGTAGAGAAAAAGTGTACACGTTGAGATAATTAAAAACAGGTACTCTATAGATAATTCACTTAATAATACACGTTCAGATGATTGGGAACAGGTGGCCGAGGGGCGCTGTAAAGGGGACAGTGAAATGTACACGTTGAGACACGTGCCATAGTGGGATGGAGGGCACTGTCCGATAGGGGCAGGGCCGAGAGAGTTTATAAGCAGAGGGATGCCTGCAGTCGGGGTACTTGCCCAGGGACCAACAAGCTACAAGGTTAATCTGGGGGAAATTCTACAATGTGCTCAAAGTGCCACGTTCAAGTGCCACTAAAATAACTCTCAAAGCAGATATGGAACTCCATAACTTTTCCCCTTCAATCCATGTCAAAATTTTCCCATGACACATTGCTCTACCAATTCTGTCTATGAGAGCCATTGAGCCTTGTGGATCCTTGCTTTGGTATCCTTGTCCAGTCCATAGCCATCGTCTTGCATGCAGACCAGACTCGGCTTGCTCTGCGCATATATGGACAGCCAACAGAGCTGTTGTGTGACAGGCAACCATAACAATAATGCACACAGCTCCGGGGTGTGAACTCGGATGATGCCAAAGTAACATTTGCCAGTGCACTGCCTACCGCCAGTACCCCCCCCCCGCCCCATCTTTGTTTGGACCTAGGTCTCACAAGCTCTGCCTTCACAATCACACTGTTTTATGGGCAACCAGTCCATTGCGGAAAGGTCTTTTAGGTCTTTCCCCACCTTTCCCTTGTTCCATCTACATATCATGGGAAAATCGTCAAACAGTCATGCACCATGAAATGTCATTATTCATTATCACAACCAGGGCGTCCTGCAGAAAGTACAAAGAGGAAGGGACTTAGTGTGGAGTCCTGGTGCACTCCTAAACTCCTGCAGCAGCGTTTAGACCTTTTGTAAAGGCTTGTCACATATGTCCTTACTCTGTTTGTCACAAGCCTCACTTGGGTTTCAGGAATCCCCAAATTATCTCTCTCTCCAGAAGCAATCTCGTTGTGGCAGAATAAATGAATGTACAGACTTCTGGTAGCTGCCTGATGATGCTGTTTGTGACCACCAGCAAAATGTCCATACCCAATTGTTAAAAGTTGTTTGGATTGCTCTCCAGCAAAACGGCGGCGACCTGTCCCAAAAATCAATTAACAATTGTGTAAGAATCCTCCACATGTGAGAGTCGTGTGTGAGATTGTGAGTATGCAATAGGAGGGGGTGTATGGCCCTGCTCACCTTTGCCAGGTCCTCCACAGCCTGTGCTTTAGCACCATCATGAAGTTGCTTCTTAAGCACAACCTCATGGCCATGTTTGTCATCTAGGAGAGTGACAATCCAGGTTACAGGGTTGTGTCAACGGAACCAAGACATTAAACCATGAATCCTATTTACAGGTTTCCCTTTGCTTTATGTGGTAGACGCATTCCAAACATAAAGGGTGCACAAAAATCGCATGAATCGAAGCCATGTTCACGGTTTAAGATACATTCTGAAACCTCTGCTTGTCCACCCCCCCCCCACACACACACAGAGATACACTTTCACCACTCGATTATGACAATAGTATGCAGGGAAATGCAAACAATAAACACCTTACTTTTTGGTTCTTTCGGTAAAGTTACGTAGGTAGAAAATAATAGATCATGACGTTTCGATCTCAACACATGCGACCGTCATCAGGTGAGACAATCATGGTAGGGAAACTGCTGAAGCAGGCGAGAGAGCTGCCGTGACAAGGGCCTCTATAGGTAGGGCACGTGGGCGGGGCCAGAGATGGGCGAGAGAGGGGGGCGGGGCAGCAAGATCGGTGGCAGCCGGAGAGCTCGCAGGGGGAGAGAGAGCAGGGGGGGTGGGTTGGGGGGCAGAGCATGATCTGCGGCGGGGACAGGAGAGCTCGCCAGGGGGTGAGAGGGGGGGCAGAGCAAGCTCGGCGGCAGGGGGCGAGTGGGACAAGGGAGGAGAGAGAGCTGCCGCGACAGGAGTAAGTGATTGGCGGCTGGGGCGAGAGGGGGGGGTTTGGGCAGAGATAAGGGAGGGGAGGCAAGGGGGAGGAGAGAGGGGAGTGGGGCATAGATAATCGGTGGTAGGGGGAGAGAGAGAGGCTGTGTTAGTGAATGTGGCTCAGAGAGTCGAGAATAGCTGTTAACGTAGGCAGGCAGGAAGGGGGACATCACCACCAGTTGACTAAAACCGGTTAATAACGTCCTTCCAATGATTGCTTAGTTTGTATACCTCTTCTCGGTTCAAATTGTGTCTGTGTTTATATATCTGGATGGCTTCATGGACAAATCTTTTAAGGTAGCCTGAAGGTTTGCAGAGTACCTTGGTCTCGGAAAAAACAAAATCATGTGAGCCCACCGTGTAAAAACAGTGATCTGCCATGGCAGAGGTATTGCTTCTGCTGTGTCTCAAATCTGCTTTGTTTTCGTGAACACGGTCCGAGACATGTCGTTGCGTTTCCCCAATGTAACTGCTGCCGCAGACACAATATAGTTTGTTTACCACGGAGGTTTTCGCGACCAATATTATTATTCATAATAAAGGTTTTTGGATTAGATCACGTAATTTATAAATGTGTCGTAACCCTCCACCACCCGACACGGCCAATCAGCAAAAAAGTGTCATGTTGACAAAAGACAAATAGTCCACTACTTTAGCCCACCGGTGTGTTGAAGAGTGAATACACTAAATTTACAGTTTGAATACGACGTTTCGCTGGTAATTACATCCAGCATCATCGGGCAATTCGCCAGAATGGTAAAGCCCTCACTTGCTCCCGGTCTTAAATAGAGCAGCAGGGTGACGTCATCATTTTACTAATTTCAGATGCAGTAATTATATAATCGATTGGTAATCAATCAATGGCTATGATTAGTAATGAGTTGTAGATTAGTAATTCGTTCTAATGTGTGTAATTGTGATTATATGCTACATTAGTAATCCGTTAATTAGTATGTGTTTCCCCTATAAGGAATTGCAATATGTATTATTTAATAATACCCTTCCAAGCCGCACTAAGCCTATAGCTATCATAACGATTAAAGTTATTTCTGTTTCTCTCAATATCAATGGATTCTCTAATTAGTCTTTGCCAGTAATATTTAGTTTTACACAACACTTCAACGTTATCAAAATCAATTGAGTGTCCTTGTTGACAAGCATGTTCTGCCACTGCCGACAGTTGTGTTTGAGATAATTTAATATTTCTTTGGTATTCTTAGTTCTTTCGGTAAAGTCACTTTTTAATTGTTTTATATATATTTTATTATTTTGTTGTTTCCCTTCAACGTGACTTTACCGAAAGAACTAAGAATATGAAATACTGCAGTCACGAAAGCTTTAAATCAAAATTTATTTCTTTGGTGTTATTTTAGTCTTATGCTGATGTTACGTCCCGTCTGTCCAATATAGCATCTGCCACATAAACAATTAATCCGATATACACCTTCCGTTGATAATTTAGGTAATTCGTCTTTAGTGCAAGATACTAGTTTTTGAATTTTGTGTACTGTACCAAATCTTACTGTAATGTTTTGCTTTTGCAAAACACGGGCTAATTTGTGAGTTACTCCTGAGATATGTAATTTTAATTGTCTTAAGAATCTGATCACTTTCAGCAAAGTTGCTTTGCGATCGTGATTTGGCATTCAGTGCTCTGATAATTTGAGTATTATTGTAGCCATTCTGTCGTAATGCTTCTTTAACGTGTTTGATCTCTCTCACTGGACTTTCACCATCTGACACTGTTTTAGCCCGATGTATGAGCGTCTTGATAAGGGAGGATTTCTGAGCTGGATCATGATGCGAATCTGCATTCAGATAGGCATCAGTGTGCGTTTGCTTTCTGTAAACGCTGTGTGTTATTTTACCGTTTAGGCCATGTCCAAGCAAAATATCTAGGAACGGGAGTGTGTTATTCACCTCCATTTCCATGGTGAACTGGATGGCCGGGTTTTGTGTATTGAGATGATTTAGAAAATCATCAAGTGTATCTTTACCATGTGGCTAGACAACCAAAGTGTCATCCACATATCTAAACCAAAAAGATGGTTTTAATGTGCTCGAGGCAAGTGCTCTTATTTCAAAGTTTTCCATGTACAGAATTGCTATAGCAGGAGATAAAGGAGAGCCCATTGCTGCTCCTTCCTTTTGTTTAAAGAAATCCCCTCTCCATAAGAAGTAAGTGTTATTTAAACAATGGTCAGCAAGTTTCGGAATATCTTTTGGTAAACCTGTATTCTTTATTAGTGTATCAAGTAATTTAAGCGATTCGTTCACTGGAACCTTAGTGAATAGATAAATCACATAAAAACTTACCAGAATATCATTTGGATTACGTTTAATATCTTTAATCACATTCACAAGATGTTCTGAATTTCTTATGAATTAAGATGTCCTACCGATGTAGGGCTGTATTTGTTTAGTTATATATTTTGCTAACCGAGAAGAGGTATACAAACTGAGCAATCATTGGAAGGACGTTATTAACCAGTTTAAGTCATAACTGGTGGTGATGTCCCCCTTCCTGCCTGCCTATGTTAACAGTTATTCTCGACTCTCTGAGCCATATTCACTGACACAGCCTCTCTCTCTCCCCCTACCACCGATTATCTATGCCCCACTCCCCTCTCTCCCCCCCTTATCTCTGCCCAACCCACCCCCCCCTCTCGCCCCAGCCGCCAATCACTTACTCTTGTCGCGGCAGCTCTCTCTCCTCCCTTGTCCCACTCGCCCCCTGCCGCCGAGCTTACTCTGCCCCCCCCCCCCTCTCTCTCCCCCTGGCGAGTGCTCCGGCCGCCAACGATCTTGCTGCCCCGCCCCCCTCTCTCTCCCATCTCTGGCCCCGCCAATGTGCCCTACCTATAGAGGCCCTTGTCGCGGCAGCTCTCTCGCCTGCTTCAGCAGTTTCCCTGCTATGATTGTCTCACCTGATGACGGTCGCATGTGTTGCGATCGAAACTTCGCGATCTATTATTTTCTACCTACGTAACTTGACCGAAAGAAACAAAGAGTATGAATTCCTGCCGTCACGAAAGCATCAAATCCAGAATAAACACCTTGCACAGTACAAAACGTTTTAAAATATAGTAAATAAACAATAAAAATGCTCCCACGAGTATACAGAGTGAGCGATATGTTCGCCACAACAGGTGAGGATGTCACGAATCTGCGGGCAGCATGAGAGACTGCGAGACTGAGTGGTGTTGGCCATGTGGCTCATAGCATGGACCGCACCGTTACCCAACCCACAATGCACTGCACAATAACCCTTAATGGCCCAACAGCCAATCAAATCAAGTTGTCATACTCTTTGGTTCTATTCGGTAAAGTCACATAGGTAAAAATAAAATAACAAAAAATCACGACGTTTCGGCCACAACACAAGTGGCCTTCATCAGATGAAGGGACTGGACTGTCCAGAGGACAGCGTTGGAGTCCTCTGGACAGTCCAGTCCCTTCACCTGATGACGGCCACTTGTGTTGTGGCCGAAACGTCGTGATTTTTTGTTATTTTATTTGTACCTACGTGACTTTACCGAATAGAACCAAAGAGTATGGATCCTTGCAGTCACGAAAGCTTCAAATCTAGAATCAAGTTGTCATGTCATGGGCAAATGTCAATGGATTTTACAATGTCAATTTGACAAATTCTATTTTGCTGGAGATTACATCCAGCATTATCAGCTGTTTAACAAGAGCTCTGCTCTGGTGAAAAGTGTACAAATTATGTTTGCTCTTCGAAATTCCTCGTTTTACTGATAAACTAAATCCATTGGCATATTTACCATAGCGTGATGTGACTTCATTGGCTGTGGCAGGTGAAAGAGGGCTACAGCTGAAAATTGCCATCATACCTCCACGATAAAAAACAATTATAAATAATTAGGAATCATATGTGTATATATGTAATTGAGTGGGGTCGTTTACCAACCGTATATTCATTTTATGCATGAATAAATTGATCATTGACGACAATGAGAATGCCGTTTTATCAGAAGTGATTCTGCAATGGCCTTTCTCAGAGGTCGTTTTCTTACACGTGATTGATAGCATTCGTGGGATATAATATCAAGAACCTTGTGTAGTGACGTATATCGAGTGACTGTAGTGTAGCACCAGTTACCGAGAGAAGAGTGGAACTGCATGTGTATAGCCTGTCTCTAACGCCAGAGTGAGTATGGCATGGAAGGGCTCCCTAGGGCGCATAGTCCTGGTGACAGTGAGAGAGTGGTCGGGTGAGGACATGATAGTCTGGGTGACCTCGAGAGGGCACGTTACCGGACGAGGTGGCAAGGGGGGGCCCAAAAGGAGGTGAGAGGGACACGTGATGTGGGCCAAAAGTTTTCGGGAAGGATTTGGAAATGGGCGTGGCCAAGGGCGGAGCCCGGCCACGCCGCGGCCAATGAAGGCTGAGTCCCGAGCCCCGATCGGGGCTGTCTCTGGGAATGTACGTCTTTGATCTTTGCTCTTCACGCATGGCATTGTGGACCAGGCTAGTGTGTTTTATGACCTGGTCCGAGTGTGTAGTTACCCCGTGGTGGTTATCACTATATAGTATTACATCAAGTGGTTATGTAGTTACCCATGGTGGTCACCACCCTATGTCGTTATCCCGTGAACGTTTATATAGTTACCCCGTTGTGTTCAGAATAAACGTGTTGCCTCCAAGTTCGAGTGTGCGCCTCTGTGGAACCCATTACACTTATATAAAGTTATGTTAATGGGACTAGAAGCGACTCACGTGACCATCGTGAATCCAGTGACACGTCCATCGTGAACCGACCCACATAATCATTGTGAACCCACCTACACGGCCATCATGAACCCAGCGACACGGCCATTGTGAACAGACTGACACGACCATCGTGAACCCACCAAATTCAGTAACCGTGAACCCAGAAAGATGGTAATCGTGAACCTACCCACATGGCCATATCGACAGAACTAGAGATGCAAACTCACAAATTTGCAGGGCTCCTTCCGCGCCTTCCTCCACAACTTCACGGTGGTTCTTCAACCATTCTTCGAATGTCTCCAGGAAGACTTCCAACGCAATGTCAACCTGGAAGTCGAAGCATTGTCTCAGTTATAATCCATGTTGCCTGAGCTCCAATGTCACAGAACCAATTCAAATATATGAGTGTCAATCGTTTGTGAATTTGTGCTGATTTCTCCGTCACCAACAACTGTGACTTATTGTAATTCTAATGCACACTTAGCTTCACCTCATACCTCGCCTTGGTTTATATGAATTGTTCTATTTTATTTTGTCTATTTCAAGGTAAATATTAGACTTGAATTCATCATCAGTCATGGTGAATGCAGCACTTATCCAGTCCAGTAATATATGGGTCTCAATGTCGGTATGCATAAATTGCCAAGTCTTTTGGTTTCCGTGAAAGCCTATGGGTCTATGTGTGAGTCTGTGGCTCTCGTGTGATTTTTGCATTCGCTCCCGAATGAAACTTAGATTAGTTTGAGTGGAATGCCATTGAACGCTCATGTTAGAGTCAGTTACGAGAAGTTTCAAGCCACCACCATCAGTGAGGATAAGCATGAGTGCTATTGGTCAGAACCTGATAGATACATTGGCTCCTATAAATTTATGGAAACTTTTTTTTATTTTACCACGTGAGTCCCACTGAGCTATGTAACTCTTTTTCAGAAGTGGGCTTGGCCACAAATGATAGCTCAACAAAGTGGCTCATGTGAACATTTATAGCAGCAGCCACGTAATCTAAACGCATGTTGATTGTAAATGTGGAGGTAAAAATCCACACGACCACGGGGAGAACATGCAAACTTGAAATATACAGCAGGTTTTGGGGTAGGGATTGAATCTATGACCTGTATGCAAGGAGATATATTTCATCTCATCACCACGGCATCCCTTACTGCTGCCACTATGTGCACGAGTAGAATGGTATCAAATACCGCGTTGGTATCGGTGTCTCGGTCACCTACCTGGTCTCCGAGTCCCGGTGTCTCCTTATACTTCCGTTTGATCACTTCCATCTCCATCTTCAGCTCCTTGGCGCCACCAGGATGCTTGAACTCGCCTTTGTCCACGCGTTCCTTGAGCGGCTTGAACAGCTCGTGCAGGCATCCATCGCACTTCGTCAACGAGACATCTCCGTTCTTCTTGATCCAAGAATCTCGCTCCATGACAAGCTTTGCCTGGAAGCCAAACACACGAAGTCAGGAGGAGGCACTCACTCTAAGTATGGCACACATTTCTCCCACTGCCATCACGTCTCAAGACATCCATAACGGCCATGGTGAGAAAATTGTTAGCAATCACTGGGCCAAGTTATCATTTCCCAAAAAATGTATGTATTTTTGTATTTTGTTAAATCATTTAGTTTATTCAAGCTCTGAGAATCAGTTTTTCCACGTAAACCACCCTAACCATTCCATGAGAGGAAATGACGACCCACAGCCAGAGCAGAAAAATTCTGGATCAGGAACTATGCTGACAAACTCACGCAGCTATCAAATAATAGCGGCACCTATAACTACAAGGACTCTGGTACTTTTCTGGCAGTGTGTTAACCCACCGCGTGTGTTTAGAGTGATTTAAGATGCCTGCCAACTGGCGTTTTTGGGCCTTTGCGCCAATGCTCAGTGCGAGGGTCTCTAACGTCCGTGTCACGATTGGCTTTGGTCTGCGCTCGGCGGTGGCTTCGCTGCCTGTGGCAGCCCTGGAGTGGCTAAAAAGCGCTGTTGTGGAGGTAGCAGCAGCGAGGGGTTGTGGATCACAGATTTGTGAATCTCTCTTCACGTGAGTGGGCGTCAAGGAGCCCTACCCTGGCTCTGCCATGAGAAGGCGGTACAGCAAAGTGCAGACTGCATCTGTTCCCTCTGTATGGGATAGAGGGTTTGCCCCTCTCATGCGGTGAGTTTTCTCTGGGTGCTTCGAATGCCTCACGTATAAACACGCATTAATGTGTTGATAACACCGAAATTGAGGGCAGTAGAGCTTGGATAATTGTTTGTAGCGCCGGCTTCTCACCACCACGTGGCTGCTGCTGCTTTCCCATTCATCTGTGGTTCCTCTTCCTGGCGCTTCCGAGTGGTCCTCTCTCTCTCAAATGAGAGTGAGCTCATGCTATGTGATGGTGGTGCAGTTTCTGATCTTAAAATGAATACATGGGAACCATACATATTAATAATATATAATATACATGGATGGCTCCTACAAAAAAAACACTGCTAGCTCTTAATTAATATTATTCTTATTTTCTATTCTAATATTTATTCAATCTCTGGTAACTCTTCTGGGAGAGCTACCCACCGGCCCTGAAGTTCTGGACATCGAGCTGATAAGGATCCACGTGGACAGAGGAAGAAGGTGCCACACTCACTTGGCAACTGCGATTGGAAATAAACTAAAATACATATCATTAATAACACCCTTGTAAATAGCGCTGACCATGCAGATTTTCTGATGGGTGAATTCACGGTCGAGCACTGATTTCTCATGGAAATGCTTCACTGCCATCTCCATGCATCCTTTGTGGTGATGCTCCAGCTCAAACAAATCCATTGGGAGCTCCATGTCGAGCGACTCCATGCCCTTCGTGTAGATCTCCAGGGCGTCCCCCATGGCCTTCTCATTGCTCGACTTGACCGCATTCCCCAGCGCATCCTCGATAGAGGGCACGGCGCCACTGTGCTGAGCTGTCACGTATTGCTCCACTATCTGAACGAATTCTGTGCACACGAATGCCATGGAAAGAGAGATATTACAACAATAATGTCAACAGGTAACAACACGCCGCCACTGCACGGTATTAGCTGCTCACTATCCAAGATAGAGGACGACACAAGAGGGGTGAAAATGATTAACCATAGACGAGTGAGAAGGCAGCAGCAGCCACGTGGTAAGGAGCCATAGCTTCCAATAATTGGCCAAGCTCTGCCGTCCTCTATATATGAATGTTATCGGCCAATTATTGGTGAATTGTGTTTAAACGTGTGGGAGGAAACTATAACACTCAGAGAAAACCCACGCGATCGAGGGGTTAACAATACCCCATGCAAAAGAAGCGTGCATGGAATGTGTCAAATTTACGAATCCGGAGCGCGAATGCAGGACGGTGAATGTTACAAGTGATGGCAGAGGTAACACACACACAGATTGCAACTCTGTTTGACCAGATCACACACAAGCTCTCCGTTCGCACAGTTTGGCTACGTATGGTGCGAAAGAAGATTACTATACGGACATACGTTAGCACTCGGTCCCACTAGGCCTGACGACACCTGATGGAAGATCGAGCGAATCTAATGCCAGGTGAGACTCTATGAACAGGGCAGCTGCTACCGCCACCACTGCTTTAAATTTTGCAGCTGGTCCTGATACTAAATATTGGGGGTCCACTGATCATGCCCTACTCTGCGTGACTGCCTTCCAGCATCTGATCCTGGGCTTTTGTCTGCATGGAGCACAGGCCCTAGAATTCCCTGCTGCTTGGAGGTCAGGAACTCACAGTCGATGGAGACTCCAGAATCCTGGCTGAAGACCCCACTCACCACTTGTTTTAACTGGCCTCTCTCTATCTAGCTCTCTATGTCATCTCTCTCTGGATGTTTCTCGCTAAACTTTCCTCCATTACAAGTGTAGTGGGTATAAACAGAGGGAGACTTCTCTGGAGTCAACACGTTTATTATACAAAAATGATTACAGCTTAACACAAAGGGGTTACGGTCCCTTTCACCCGATATTCTAGGGAGGGATGTCCTCCTCCCTAGCGTGCTCTACACACTGGGAGAGCTGTCCGCTAAGGGTCCTCCGGCTAGTGGGACCTAGGGAGGCTATTCTGACCCGACCCAGCCAAGGTCCTCAGGTCCTACCCACGGGGCTGCTTGGACCCGACCCAGTCAAGGTCCTCGAGTCCGGCCCCCAGCTCCAGGTCTTCCAAGTGGCTTCTTGGGTCTTCGAGTGGACGACAAATGCCGGGCCCGTTCAGGGACCTGGCTTTTATACACGGTCCCAGTTCACTCTGCCCCTCGCCACACCTTCCTTCTGGAACCTTCCTGAGGGACCTGGAGTGTGACGTCATCCCCCAACCCCTCTTCTTGGCGTTTTGGGGTCCGCACCCCTTGGTCACGATGCTCCCTGGGGATTACCTGGGCCCAATGGCCCGACTTCATTTACCTAGCCGGCTCAGCCACTCTTCCGCCCCCTGTTGACACGGGGCCTGTACTCCCGGCTAAGAGTAGTGGCGATCGCGCATCACGCCCAACAATGCAACTACACAAGCATGTTTAGGGCTCACCTTGGTGGCGAGATCTTAACTACCTTGCCTGGTATGCAAGAGGTAAAGGGTTCGATCACAACCATGTTGATACAATTTTTTAACCATCTCAGAACGCTATTTTTATAGCTGACACATGCACAACGACCAAATGAAACGATGGACTGGCATTCGTGGAAGAGGGAGTTTTTGGTGGTACATGCTACGTGTGCACAGTATGGTATATAATTGCAAAAATAGATAGTTTGCACTGCGTGTATTCCTAGTTACAAAAATTGCGCAACTCAAGAGTTACAAAGGGTATATAAATGCAATATCAATTAAACACATTTCTGATCAATACACTTTATTAAAATTGCAACTCGATGAAGACTTGTATTAGTGAGGAGGAACATAATGTTGCAATGTAGCGCGTGGGCCCATTCTGTGTAGCAGGACAGGTTTGAAATCGTGACAGTGAACTCACGGGGGCCTCGGAGCACTGCCTTGTTGATGTGTTTCACTCTTCCCTCTCCGAGAACGTAGTTTTCAAAATCCTTGAGCGTCTCCACGAATTCTGGGTTCAACTTATCATCGGGTAAATCCTTCAGCTTGGTAAATTTGAGCATTTGTGCTGGCATCGGGAACATGAAGCACTTTCTCTCCTAGGTTGTAACAAAGGCATGAGATAGGAGGGCGTGCATCAAATGTCCTTACCAGCACAATAATAATGAAATCATTGTCAACTTGGAACACTGCCCTGCCACCGCAAAATATTCTCTCACTCTCAGAGTACACAAGAAGTCACAAACAAACACCACCTCGTGAAAGACCCCATGCATGGGGGTGAGACACTGCCAGTCGGCCCGCGGCCACCAGGCTAGCAGCCCCTGCAAGCTTGGTTGAAGAGGCTGTCCTCCAAAAGCAAGGGAGAATGACACCAAGAGAGAGAGCGAGACTGACCTGGGGGCGGCCCTGTTGGGCCCGCGGCCCGGCCCACTGGCGTGGCAACCAGGCCACGTGACATGCCCCCAGAGGAGTTGCGAGCAGAGTCTAGCGATGATGGCGCACGAGGGACTGTCTGAGGCGGGGACTACCCCGGGTTGGCACTCCCTGCGCCAAGCAACTCCTCGGGTGGCAACGCCCCCCCAATTCATCGTGGGCCTGGTAAGGGCCTGCGTGTTCGTTTCTGTGATTCCCATGTTATTTGTACAATCAGCAGTTCCCAAAATAATGTTCATACAATTTATCAGTGTCCAGTTGTGTGAAATCCTTCAAATTAAGATTCTGCTTCCAACAAGGAGTCCAAAGCAGACCTTGGAATGTCCTGAAGTGGCTCTTCATAACTTTTGGTATAAAATAAGGCATTACTTTTAAATTAGATTTTTTTCTTTGTCTGAGACACGTGACATTGTAAGGGTGATGTTTACTTGCCGAGCCAAGTAAATTACACTGAATTTCACTCTCAGCTCTTACAAAGAGGTGTATGCAGCCCCTAATCATCTTCAGAGGTGTTTGTCTTCTGTAGGTCTATAATTAAAAAAAACACGTTGCAATGTAATCCGCAAGTTACCGTGAAATATTTGCACAACATCTCACAGGTCTCCTTGAACTCCGAAGATTTCTTGCCATTCTGCAGGCATTCCTCCATGAACTCATCTGCAGAGCAGGAGCTCTCGGTGTCTTCAGAGGTCGACAAGCTGTCCCTGATACAAACCACAAACACTGGGAAGATTGTCTTGTAGTTGACTTCCTCCTGGTCATCGCCGGCGCTTGGACTCCCGTGGATCTTCATATTCACGTGCTCGGCCATGTTCGAAACGAAGCTGAACGTTGGTGGCGTTAAGGCTTCACCTGCATTACGGAGCTTTTAGCTCTACGCCTCCATGCCACCTGCATCACTCACAGTGGATGCTACAGAGCCTGTGGCGTCATTCACAAGAGAAGCTCTTTGTGCGCCGGTGTCATGAACCTAAGTTTGCCAAATTTGAAAATTACACTGAAAATTACTGAATTAGAAAAATTGGGTTGATGCAAAGCAGTCATCACCCCCTGCTGGCATTACTAATGGTGAAGCTTGCTCTTGCAAATCAAACTAATTCTGGTCTCTTGAGTTCTCGCTTGGTTAAATAAAATCAACTTGAACTTAAACCTGCTCTCATAAGGTATACATCGTTTAATATATACACACAACGTCCGGCTTTGGTAGTTCATTTAATTATGTAATTTCGCTCCAAGATATCTGCGAAGGATACTGCAGCAGTTCGAAGCTGTCTTTATCGAGGGTCCTCATCGCGTTGAGCACCAGCGTGGAGCTCAGGAGAATGGACATCACAAACAGCCAAGTGTCATGATCACACGATCCCTGTAAATGGAGACATTCAATGTAACAGCAGCATCACTCAGTCGGTGCGCATGCAGCACCGACACACGTCGTTCTCACGCGGTGTTCCCATCACCATATGAAACAGCTCAGTGCACGATTTGCTACTTCTCTGAATATGTGATGCTCACAGCCATAGCAGGGGGCCAACCTCACCATAGCTCCTGGGAGGACATCTATTGCTCGTTAAGTAACTTGAGCTGTTGCATCAAGGCATAGCTCCCGAGCAGGAATGTTCATAAGCAAACTCGGCTTAATACAGTACGAGTTTATACAACTCACGATCGCATGTGTGCTTCAATCCAGCTTTGAGCTAAATGCTCCCTAACTAAGCCTTGGGGATGTTTTGCAATCCCTCATCATAAAATTACTAAGATTCACCCCTCACTCTCAAAGATGCTGAGATCGTCTGTCATCTCTTAGCCTCCTCCTGTCTCAAAGTGCAGAGATGAGCTTTAGAATGAGCTTTAAACATGAGCTCGCATCATCATCATCACCACCATCATCCCCTTGAGATACTCAGCCACTTCTGCCATCTGTGGGTTGTGATTGACCGACCTTGTTGATGTCGCCCAGGCCTTCAGTGTCCAGCAGCAGCAGGCACTTGCTGTCATCACGCGGGTGGGGAAGCGGCCAGACCCAGATTCCTCGCGTGTGTGCACGCACGCTGTGTCCCAGAGCAAAGCCTGGGGCGGACAAAGTAATGGATTAATACGCAGATCCCGGAGAGGTGTTTGTGTTGCGAATGCTTCTATCTGTTGGTGTCGTGGAAGATGCAATGGATTCATCCCCAAGAGAACGCGTTTCAATAATTTGGTAGTAAATTTGTAACACGCATCTCTATGTACCCTTATGTATCCCTATTTATTTTTGGATCTATATGCGTCTCTATGTTCAAACTTGGTTTTGGCGCTTTCGTGACTGCAGCAATTACTCTTTGGTTCTTTTGGTAAAGTCACGTAGAAAGAGAAAATAATAAATTAAATAATAGCATACGACGTTTCGATTGCAACACAAGCAATCTTCATCAGGTACAAATGAAAGAGAAAACAAACCTAGTAAACTTAGAAATATAATGCAATACAACACAGATCGTTGGCTAACATAACAGTCAACACCCTACCTAGTTGATTACGTTCTTCCAAAGATTGCTAAGTTTAAGAGAGATAAAACACAGAACCGGAGACACACAAACAGACACACAAGCAGAGAGAGATAACACAGAGACACAGAGAGAGACACACATAGGCACACAGCCAAACAACGCCTCTGTGTCAAGGCCTTAAATAGAGAGATAGGGGGGCAGAGAGAGAGGGGGGGGGGGGTAGATAAATTAGCATGTCAATGAGAGACCTGGCGCTACAGCAGGAAACAAGATCAACAAAACGAGGGGAGATAGAGAGAAACCACACTAAATAAAACAATTCACACTTAACTTCTAATTCAGCAATCTTTGGAAGAACATAATGAACCAGGCCATGCGCCAATTGTGTGTTGACCGACTCTCTGTGTTGCATTGCATTACATTTCCAAATTTTACTAAGTTTGTTTGATTTAGTGTGTTTTCTCTCTGTCTCCCCTCGTTTTGTTGCTCTTGTTTCATGCAGTTGCGCCAGGTCTCTCATTGACATGCTAATTTCTCTACCCCCCCCCCCCCCACCTGTCTCTGCCCTCCTATCTCTCCATTTAAGGCCTCGACACAGAGGCGTTGTTTCTCTGTGTGCCTATGTGTGTGTCTCTTTCTGTGTGTCTCTGTGTTATCTCTCTGCTTGTGTGTCTGTTTGTCTGTCTCCGGTTCTGTGTTTTATCTCTCTCTCTTAAATTTAGCAATCTTTGGAAGAACGTAATCAACCAGGTAGGGTGTTGACTGTTATGTTAGCCAACGATCTGTGTTGTATTGCAATATATTTCTAAGTTTACTAGGTTTGTTTTATCTTTCATCTGTACCTGATGATGGTTGCTCGTGTTGCAATCGAAACGTCGTATGCTTTTATTTAATTTATTATTTTATCTTTCTACGTGACTTTACCGAAAGAACCAAAGAGTGTCTCTATGTTCTCTATGTCTCTATCTATCTGTATGTGTCTCCATGTATTTCGATATGTCTCTGTACTTTTACATCTGTGTATCTCTCAGTCTCATTGTATATCTATGGGTCTATGCATCCTAATGTATCCATGTATATATACACGTGTCTCTATGTTTGTGTATTTGCGTCTCTGTGCATCTCTGCATTTTTGTATCTCTGTGTATCTCTATGGGTCGCTTTATATCTCTATGGGTCTCTGGGTCTCGACTTCAAAAGACGTTTAGAGGCTGATGTGCGGCTCAGTGAAAGGGGAGTGAATTCCAGACGATTGGAGCTGCAATAGAGAAACGACGCTCCCCTTTTTCTGGTTCAGGAGACTCGGGGACTCGATTGAAGAGGATGAGGCGGGTGCTTTAGCTCTGAATTTCCGAGTGAAACATTACGCACAATATCTAGATATTTAGGATAACTGTGACGAACAACTATTGACATATAAATAAGGAAAAAAACTCAGAGCTATAATACGCCCATAGCTAATCCCTCACACCCAGTGAAACTGATATTGATAAAACCATATCCTCAAAGATGAGAAATTACCTGCAAATTAATGACTCAATTAGGATTATAGAGCAGCAGCAACATCGCCCATCGCCCCCTACCGATCGACATGGGCCTCCTCCGGGTCCACGGTTTACATTTTCCCACAGCTAAACCTGCACCCCCAGTGGAACTGTGACCCGCACCTCCGATGAGCACGGTTGACTACGTAAAGTGTGAAAGAAGTTAAACATATATACATTGGTCAAAACCCACATCCCCAACACTGAGAACTTTCCTGAAAATCACTCAATTTGAATCTCAGACTACACCATTACACCACGGTAACTCAGTTAAAACCCTGAACGTGTTATCTTCGTGACTCCGCACATTTCTGTTTGTTTATTGGGGTGTTGAGCCTGGCTGGCCCAGGGTTTGGGTAAGGACACGGGCAACTCTTCACCCAGGTCAACCACAGAAACACAAACTGAGATAATGCTTCACTTATCATTGATCACACTCCCTCATCGCCACTTTAATCATCACAATAATATATTTCACGCATATTTATGCACTTACATTCTTCTCATCAACTCATCTCATCTCACACTAGTCTTCTGTTTAAATCGCTAATTATTTGTTTATGTTTTATATTTTTATTATTTTATTGTTTCCCTTCTACGTGACTTTACCGAAAGAACCAAGAAAATGAATACGCTAATTCTTTGTTCAGCGCCTTGATCATGCCACTATATAGATAATCAAAAATACGTAGAATTCCGAATGCACAATACTATACATACAATCAAGAAGATGAATTTGAATACATTTTAACGCTTAAAATCGTATCAATGATTCCCATACTTTGCTTGGACACTGTTCCCATACCAAGCCAGGCAACTAGTGAAAACACCCATAGCGCCAACTTTCATCTGTAGAGTTGAACCGATAATATTTTTTTTGCCATTCGGTTAGCAGTGGTAACACAAAGTGGATTTATTTTCGAAAAGATGATTTCAAACGTAGTTTTTTAAATATGATTTTTCCCAATTAAATGTTATTTTCACATTCCATCATCAATACGGATGCATCAATCACTTCCTCCTCTGGGTTACAAAGCACCTGCTTGGGTATTTTATGTCAACAAATAACCCACCCCAACTCCCCATGAGCGATGGAGCAGTTGTGGAGAGGGTGGAGAAGGGTTTACAACACGCATTTCATTAACGCGACCTAACAATTACGCATCATATTATTCGTGAAAGCCTACGTGTACAATTAACAATTTAAGTACTAAGTCGGGGTGCTGCTATAACTTCAATTGGCTGAAAACATTGCAATCTGTGTGACATCCGTTTGGTTGTGGATTAGGAAGACAAAGGTGGCCGGGCGGGAATAACGCTGGCTACACCACTCACTCATAGGTGCTGTTATTCGCTTACAGCACTTGCTCCGAACAGCCTGCTCCACGTTACACATATGGCGATGCTGCTGCTACTGCTGCCCGTGTTGATCGAAGTATCCAAACACGGCACTCAACAATCAATGGTAACGCCAACACCGTGGCCTTCAGCGGAAAATAAACCTCGGTTCTCTTCCGTCCTTGCGTAAGATGATGGCAGCGGCGCTGTGGTTCAAGAGCTCGATGCCATTGTTAAGGTCTGCTGTTACTGCCACAGCGAGAGAGAGAGAGGGCTTAAGCAGAAACAGTCCCCGAGTCGTTTTGCTGCTTCTCCATTTAAGGAGCGCAGACCACAGTGGTTTTACTTAACTGTATCGTCCATATTTAGAATAGGGGAGACGTTTCGGACAATGGACCCCTTTAATAGCACACGAGCAGTAATGGATCGTGTTTTTGACCCTACAGTTTCCCCAGCAAAGGGGAAGTGGTGACAAAACTGGTTTCACTTTAAAGTTTCCTTACGCGATGTTCATTTATTATTTAATCCGCTTGTGGAACTGAAACCACAGGTTCTTAAACGTATGCACATTTTTATAATCTTTTATATTAATAACCACCTCTATAACCTTTAACAGGCTGTTGGGGCAAGTGCCGTTAGCGAGCAGCACCGATGAAGGCAGGAACGGCACACGAGAGAGGGGGCTGGCGACATTCAACACGCCGCACCCGGTATTTATTTGAGTTTACCTAGGGGAGACCCAGCTCCTATTCAGAAAACCATCGCTGGCGTTGGCCGAGGGGCGGGAATCAAACCCCTGTCGCCGAGTTTGTAGCGCAGCGCGCTCACCACTGCGCCAGCCTAAGTGCACACACAAAGACTCAGCACGCGCGCGCACACCTGTGTGCAGTACAGGGCCCACCCACCTGTGTGTAGTACAGGGCCCACCCACACACCTGTGTGTAGTACAGGGCCCACCCACCCGGGCCCACCCACCCACCTGTGTGTAGTACAGGGCCCACCCACCTGTGTGTAGTACAGGGCTCACACACACACCTGTGTGCAGTACAGGGCCCACCCACCTGTGTGTAGTACAGGGCTCACACACACACCTGTGTGTAGTACAGGGCCCACACACACACCTGTGTGTAGTACAGGGCTCACACACACACACCTGTGTGTAGTACAGGGCCCACCCACCTGAGTCGCCCCCTCCCGCCAGGCGGTTGAGGAGGTAGGACTTGCCCGTGCGGTATCTGCCTGCGATGGCCACCACCACCAGGGGCTTGTCTATGGCAGACAGCACCGCGGCGGTTTCCCGGTTCACCCTGAACTTCATCTCCTCGTCCGACTCCAGCAGGACCAGCGGGCCCTTCGCGTACTCGTCCACCGCCATGGTGTGCTGCTGCTGCTGCTGCCACTGATTCTGTGGTGGTACTACTGCTGCTTCTGGTGCCGTGCTGCGTCTGGTTGTGCTCTGCTCGTACAAAGGCGAGACTGTGCAGTGTGCTCAGTCAGGTGAGGCACACACACAGAGAGAGAGATGCCACGCCTATTACGGGAAATTGAGCAACTTTGGCGCGGCGTTTCCGTGTTTAACGGAGTAGTGTAGCGAGTGCGTGGACCAGGGCCGGATTAAGGCACGGGGCTTTAGGGGCTGCATCCCAGGGGCCTCCGCCAGCTGAAGGGCCTCCAGAGGTTAAGTGAAAAGTTATTTCATTCGTGAATGCTGAATTTTATTTGTTATTAGCCTTATAAAAGTAAAACATTTTTTTCTTTAACTTTGTTTTGCATTTTAAAATATTACTGGGGGCCTCACAGTACGTGTAGCGCAGGGGCCTAAAAAAATCTTAATCCGGCCCTGGTGTGGACCAAAGGAAATTTGGTTGGACGCTTTATATTCGTTTTAACATTTTCAATTAAAAGCACTTAGCCGCACCAATTCAACTTTAATATGAAGGAAAGCGCTTGTGAAAATGTGTGGTACAACTTGTTTCGCTGCGATTCCTTAGAGCGTTAAACAGCAAATACAATTTAAGTACAAGTGTACTAGACAAAATGATCATCCAACAATGTGTAAATGATATGGTGAAGGCCGATGTTATTTCACCATCATCCAGCACTTGGGGGGGCACCAGCACTGTAACTTAAAAAGAAAGATGGCACCACTCGATTTTGCGTGAATTATCGGAAGTTAAATAAAATGACGTTGGCAGATGCCGACCCTCTCCCCAGAATTGACGGATCTAGAGATGCACTCTCTAGAGTCTCATATTGCAGCGCATTGGATCTTTTATCGGGTTACCGGCAGGTCGAATTGGATGATGGCTCAAAACCAAAATAAGCATTTGTGACTCCAGTTGGTCTAAACGAATGCAAAATTATGCCTATGGTGTTTTAAAATGCTCCTGCAACATTCAAAGGTTGATTAAGCAGTGTTGATCGAACTTAAATTGGAGTCTTGTTTGATTTCGTTGGATGATATATATTTTTTGTAAGATGTTGATGAAGATTAGATCCGATTACAGCAGGTATTTCAAAGATGGAAAGAGGTAGATGGTAAATAATTAGTAGTGGCTTATAGAAGCAGATCATTGACAGATCATGAGATGAGATATTGCGACCAGAAAGGAATTTTTAGTATTAGTGCATTTTACTGAAAATTTTAGACCATATTTGAATGTTAGACCATTCTTAGTATACGCGAACCATGCAGCATTACAGTATATTCTTCATTTAGACCGGCACTCTGGTCAGATGGCTCGTTAGGTGGAGCATGTATAGGAATTGAATGACGATAATTTATTTATCAGGAGTAAAACATACCAATGATGATGCTTTATCTAGAATACCTACGATCTTCTGGCTCCATGTGCTTGTTTCACTGGATGAATGCGATGTGGTTTGCCTCCGCCATCAACGGTAATGGCTATTCAGCAAGGGACGACCTTACCATGTGATTAAGGACGAACATTGAAATATTGGGTTCGCTATCAATAACAAGATGAAGAAATAACAAAATTTAAATAAAACATTTCGACAGATGAGACATTTAAGTATGTAGAGGGGCAGAGGCTGATAATGTATATCGATCCGTTGACAAAAGACAGGAAAATGATTGTACTGGAGGCACTGCGCAAAGTTGTGTTGTATCATGGACACAACCAAATTTATACAGGGCATCAAGGGGTACATCGTACAATGCTCACTTAAATAGACATTATTCCTGACCTGTTATGTAGAAAGATGTAGAACAATAGGTAGCACTGTGTACTCAATGTACTGAAAGAATGGGACTCCGGAATTGCGGCGCTGAGTGCGAGCGATGTTGGACGAAGCCCCGCTCCTGCTGCTCGTGGGTGTGAGGTGGAGTTGTGGGGCAGTTAACGGGCAGCCAAGACGGTTGTCAGTGGGGGCACTTAAGAGGCAGTCAAGAGGGTCTCAGTTGGGGCAATGTAAGGATTAGGAGAGTCGCTATAAAAAGGGGTGAACTAGCAGTTGGGGGCAGTTAAGCCTGGAGAGGTATAGGGAGTGGCGAGGTTGTGAGAGCTCCATACCGATTGTTACAATTGTGAAGTAATATATTTTGTAAAATTTGTACCCATTCAGGTAAAAATATACACGATTATCAGCGTATTCTGTTACTGTTTATGTATAGTAAAATTTAGGCGATGTTACATATACATGTGTTCCGCTTTCTGTCTTTCACTGTAATTCCAAATGTTTACTTTTACATTCTTCTTTACACGGTTTCCAGTCTCTGTTCCTTATTCTTTGTCAGTTTTCCAACAGCACTCCAACCTCCTCTTGTCCACCTCTAAGGCTGAAACAGCTTTGACTTTGTCTATTTTTACTGCAGTTTTTCCAGAGGCTTTGCAAGAAAACCACCTGTTTTCTGAACAAGTATAAGAACTCTTCAATGCAATAAAAATAAAATCCAACAAATGGGAGCTCATCAAGGCACTACACTTCAACTTGACACCCCTGCTGTCCCAACTACAGCACCGAAAGATACTCACCAACAAGAATATACGGGGTTGTCCTTCATCTGGTGTAGTCATTGAAGGGGAATCAGGAACAAACTGACATTTTTAAATTAAAAGGTGAGTGGAATGGTTGTGCGGTTTGTCAGTAACATGAAGGTGCGATGATAAGATGATCCATATAGGTGGTCCAAATATTCCATGAACATGTCTAACCTGCGTTTGTCTTCGGAATTATTTTGGTATAAAATATAAACATCACGTTCCCATCCACACCATGAAATGACCTCACACGGTGCATGATTGGTAACGTCGTGAGATAACCTCACACATGATGACGTCATTGGGAGGTACACGCGCCTTGGTCGCGAGGGCCAGGTGCAAGGGGAATCCTTTTGGCACCAGCTGCCTCCAAATCTACGGTGACGCTTTAATTACTTTGACCACTTTCCATCAAGATGAGTACCTAACAGCAGCACAACTTTAGACTAAACTCCTGTTCATATTGAGTTATCTTCATGAGAGATTTTGTGCCCCCACATTACAAAACGACGAACAGAGTTAATAGATTAAAGCTTTGCACCTTTATTTGGAAACTGTTAACACCATCAAGGGATTGCAATTTTTATTGATGTACAAGAATCAACCCAAGTCACACCTTTGTCGTTAACACTGCCTTTTAAGCAAAACGCACACAGTATAGCCTGGCAGTGGGTCTAAGCAGTGGGTCAGAAGAATTTCCGATGCCTGGGACATCAGTCAGTTTTAAGCGACAAGCTTTGTGCTCGTGTTTGTGCAGTAAGTGAAAGAAATGGAGCAATGGTTTGGCAGCGAGAGGCGAATGAACACGTGCTGGAGCTGGTTGGGGTAAAATGACGACCAAAGGTCAAGCAGTTATGGATTGCGCTGTGGGATCTCGGGAGAACCTACCCACACCTGGAGGACATCTTTGAGCAATTTTAAATGGGAAGCAGGGGGAGGTGGCGCAGTAGTTGGCATATTTCGTAAACCATGGCAGTCAACCCAATGCTTTATCTCTCTCCTTGTTTTGTCTTGAGCTGCCTATCTTTGTAACTCCCCACCACGGTCTTTTTTCTCAAGTTCTTGTAAAAGCCTTGCTCAACCCATGACATCTTATTAACTCCAATCTACTGCACCTTCAACAGTGCAGTTTGTTGCCGGCGCCTGCAACCGGTACGAGCAGCAGGAGCGGAACGGGCAGTGGCAGCAGTAGCAGCAGCAATGCCATCACCGGCAGCGCCATCACTGGTAGCACCAGCACGATCAGCACCAGCACGATCAGCAGGAAACGGAGCTGGCAGTGGCAGTGGCCCAGACAGCACCAGCACCAGATGAAGCGTGCGCCCGTGTGTGTGTGCAGAGCCTGTAATTGTCTGCGCATTTGAACCCGGATGAAGTCACTACAACGAAGTGCTCCCTCAGTACCGCACAAGAGTCCGAGTGAACAAATAAATAAATGTGTAGCCACCAGTCTGAAACCGAACTCAACAGTCTGGAAGAGCAACGCATCTATCCTATCTGTATGGGATAGAGTGTTGCCCCCCCCCCGCCACCGTGTGGATTTTTACTCCGGGTGCTTTCATTTCCTCCCACGTGCATGAACACGCATTCATTCTCTGAAAACAGCTGTGTGCCTGTGTTTGTGAATTGTGCACTATTGTGAGATACAGTTGCATAGATGATGCCGTATGAAAATTCAACATTATTAGTCCTCCCATGCATCTTGGGGTATTGCATTTGTGTCATGAGTATAACTTACTTCTGTGTCGTTCCGATCTTCTGATTATTCACGGTGGGAGGAAGTGACCATTAGGTCTGGTTCACAACTGCTTCTACAGATATTGCGACTTAATGATTGTGAAGTGTCCAGCTCAGAGACACTCGGAGACGGCGTGGAGGCAACACGTTTATTACAACTTTCCCTAATACACACGAAAGGGTATAGCTGCCCCTGTGTCAGTCTACCCTAGGGAGGTAACTCCTAATCCTCCCTAGCTGCACGGGGTAGCTAGCCACGACCGGACCCTCGCTTGGGTCCAGGTCTCGTCTATCGCCAGGTCTTCTCCTGGCATCACGGCTTCCGGCTTCTCCTCGTCAGCAGACCTTCCCCCCCACCCAACCTGTTCGGGGGTCCGATTTATATTCCCGGCCTCGGGAGCTCCATACGCCCCTTTTCCACGCCTCCCTTCTCGGGCTTCTTAGAGGGGTCTCGTCTCAGCCCCAGGGCCCCCTACCGTTCAGAGGCTGGCACTGCACGCAGGGCACTGCGCTCTTCCTCCACCGCTGTTGGCGGCGTGAGTGGCGCGTGTCTCGCAATTGCAGTGCCACTACAATTGTAACAGAGTCCCGTGAAAATAATCACAAAACGCCTCTATCCTCATCATATCGACCACTAAGGTTAAACAATTACAGTCTTTGTGGGAGGGTGGGCTACAGCCCACCCTCCCACAATTGCAGTGGCATCCACCGATGCCACTACAATTGTAACAGAGTCCCGTGAAAATAATCACAAAACGCCTCTATCCTCATCATATCGACCACTAAGGTTAAACAATTACAGTCTTTGTGGGAGGGTGGGCTACAGCCCGCATCGCCTTACTTATGGTGATGGTGCATGGCGTGGAGGCGTGAGGTGTAA